TATCTGGGATTGCACTGAAATAATATGGGGTAGAGGGAAGCAGGAAAGAGTCTACATGAAATTAGCTTGGCCATAAGATTGTTGTTGAAATTGAATGGATACATGGGGCTTCATTATACAATTGTCTTTACCTTTACAAACCTCTACACTCTCAACATAAATAAGAATAAAAACACAAAACACACACAGATACATCTATGCGCGTGCGTGCGTGTGCGCACACACACACACATATTTAAAATACACAAATATATTAGCATGTAAGTCATTGGGGGTAAATTTCGTTCCTGTTCCAAGGTTCTTATACTGACTAGGAGGAGGATAGAAGTACTAACTCCTAGGCTGGGCGCAGTGGCTCACGTCTGTAAACCCAACACTTTAGGACACTGAGGCTGGCGGATCTCTTAGGGTCAGGAGTTCAAGACCAGCCTGGCTAACATGGTGAAACACTGTCTCTACTAGAAAAGAACAAAAATTATCCAGGCATAGTGGTGCACGCCTGTGGTGCCAGCTACTCAGGAGACTGAGGCAGGAGAATTGCTTGAACCCAAGAGACAGACGTTGCAGTGAGCCGAGATTGCTCCATTGCTCCAGCCTGGGCAACAGAGCAAGACTCTCCGTGTCTCAAGGAAAAAAAGAAAAGAAAAGAAAAAAAAAAGTAGTACTAACTCATGTTAAGACTTTGGTAAGTGAGGGATACATGTTGTAGCTCTAAAATAATCTGCTGTCATCTTTTAAAATAACTTCAAGACTGCACAGTTAGGAAACTAATAGAGAAGGAGGAAATTGAATAATAAAAATAATAAACGCAAAACAAGATGTGAGACGAGATAAGAAGGAACAGAACAGGTAGGGAAAACAAATTGGTGGTGGCTTTCAACCCAAATAAATCATTAGTTACATTTAAAAGGACAATCAATAAAAATTAAAGTACTTGGAAATAAAGTTAAACCCAACTAATGCCTTTTATATAAGGATACAGAAAGGTGGAAAATAATGAAAAATATATCATGCATGCACTAACCAAGAAAGCCGTATAACTTTTTTTCTTTGAGATAGAGCCTCACCCTGTCTCCCAGGCTGGAGGGCAGTGACGTGATCTTGGCTCACAGCAATCTCTCCCTTCTAGGCTTAAGCGATTCTCCCACCTCAGCCTCCCAAGTAACTGGGACTAGAAGTGTGTCAATGTAGAATTATATTAGCCACAGCCGGCTAGTTTTTGTATTTTTTGTAGAGGTAAGGTCTCACCATGTTGCCCAGGCTGACTTTGAATCCTGGGCTTCGGCGATCCAGCCACCTCATCCTCCCAAAGTGCCAAAATTACAGGCATGAGCCACCATGCTCAGCATAACTATTTTTAATGAAGTAGACCTGAAGAAGAAAAGTATTATTAGACATAAGAAACACATCACGGAAAATAAAGTTACTAGGAGCTAGCGTGGTAGCTCACGCTTATAATTCTGGCACTTTGGGAGGCCAAAGCGGGCGGATCATCTGAGGTCAGGAGTTCGAGACCAGCCTGACCAACATAGAGAAACCCCATCTCTACTAAAAATACAAAATTAGTCAGGCGTGGTGGCGCATGCCTGTAATCCCAACTACTTGGGAGGCTGAGGGAGGAGAATCACTTGAACCCAGGATGTGGAGGTTGCAGTGAGCCGAGATTGTGCCATCGCACTCCAGCCTGGGTAACAAGAGCAAAACTCCCTGTCAAAAAAAAAAAAAAAAAAAAAGAAGAAGAAAGAAAAAAGAAGTTACTAGCCAGTTTCAGTATTACTTAACATCCAGAAAACTCGATGTAAAAGTTTTTTAGAGAAGGCCAGGCATGGTGGCTCACGCCTGTAATCCCAGCACTTTGGGAGGCTGAGGCGGGTGGATAATGAAGTCAGGAGATTGAGACCATCCTGGCTAACACAGTGAAACCCTGTCTCTACTAAAAATATAAAAAATTAGCCGGGCGTGATGGCGGGTGCCTGTAGTCCCAGCTACTCGGGAAGCTGAGGCAGGAGAATGGCATGAACCCAGGAGGCGGAGCTTGCAGTGAGCCAAGATCGTGCCACTGCACTCCACCCTGGGTGACACAGCAAGACTCCATCCCCACCCGCGCCCCCCTCCGCCAAAAAAAGTATTTCAGAGAAACTAAACCAATAGGTCATACATAGAGGTTTATTTAGGAATTGGCTCACACGACTGTGGGGACTAGCAAGTTTAATATCTGTAGGGCATGCCCACAAGCTATAAATTCAGGTAAGAGTTGATCTCAAAGTCTGGAACCTAAAATCTGTAGAGCAGTCAGCCTGCCAGAAACTCAGGCAGGATTTATATGTTATAGTCTTGAAGCAGAATTCCTGCTTCTCTGGAAAACCTCAGTTTTTGTTCTTAAGGCCTTCAACTGATTGGAGGTGGCCCACCCATATTATGGTGAGTATTCTGTTTTACTTAAAGTCAACTGACTGTCAATGTTAATCACATCTATGAAATAACCTCCCAGCAAGATATTGACAAGTATTTGACCAAACAACGGGGCATCATAGCTTAGCCAAGTTGACACATACATTAACCATCAGGAGCGAATAGAATATCCAAAAACCGAAGTACTAGCTGTAGTATATCCTATATAGCTATTAAAATTATACAAGAATTATAGAATGAAGATACTAAGATGACCATTAGAACAAAAATATAAACTTTTTTTTTTGAGACCAAGTCTTTTGCACTGTCACCCAGGTTGGTGGCACAATCTTGGCTCACTGCAACCTTTGCCTCCTGGGTTCAAGCGATTCTCCTGCCTCAGCCTCCTGAGTAGCTGGGATTACAGGCACCTGTTACCATGCCCCGTTAATTTTTGTATTTTTAGTAGAGACAAGGTTTCACCATGTTGCCCAGGCTGGTCTGGATCTCCTGACCTCAAGTGATCTGCCTGCTTCAGTCTCGCAAAGTGCTGGGATTACAGGTATGAGCCACCACGCCCAGCCAAAAATCACCTTTTTTCACAAGGATCAAAAGAATCATTATGCTGGAGATGACAGACCTCACTGTCACCATGCTCCTTTTGTATGTCTACTAGGCATGGTGCTGGGTCCACACACACATAAGTCTTAGGAACTCAACCCCAGAGTCTCCGGCTGTAGTAGAATCCCAAGAATAAAACCTGGTGCTGAATGAAAGAGTAGGAGATGGGGCCGGGTGCTGTGGCTCACTCCTGTAATCCCAGCACTTTGGGAGGCTGAGATGGGCAAATCACAAGGTCAAGAGTTCGAGACCATCCTGGCCAACATGGTGAAATCCCATCTCTACTAAAAATACAAAAATTAGCTGGGCGTGGTGGCTGGCACCTGTAGTCCCAGCTACTCGGGAGGCTGAGGCAGGAGAATTATTTGAACCCAGGAGGCGGAGGTTGCAGTGAGCCAAGATCACGCCACTGCACTCCAACCTGGTGACAGAGCAAGACACCACCTCAAAAGGAGACTGGACTCTGGGAGGGCCTGCTGACAGACAGGAGAGATGGAGGCAGGGGCATGGGCTTCTGGTGGCCCCAGCAGACCCTGCGGCAGCATGGCCAGGGGCCCCTGCAGGGAGGGATCTTGGCCAGGATGATGCTGCAGCAGGCCTTTTCCTGAGGCCCCCAGCCAGCCCGGCCAGGGTCCCAGCGTCCAGTGATCCCTGTTCCACAGCAGCAGCTGGGGCCAGCCCCAGGCTCTCTTCCACTCCCAGCTTCTGAAAACAGGAAGTGGAGAGAGTTGTTTGATAAAACACTGGGGCAAACCACATCCTCTCTCTTCACCAAGGGAGTTCGAGGGAGTGCCAGTGTAGGAAGCATTAGAGCAGAGACCCCCTAGCCAACTACTGACCCTCACACGCACAGCAGGACATGCTATGCTATGGAGACCCCCACAGTCACTCGGGGAGACCCAGCAGGTCCAGACTCCACTCAGAGATCTGTGGCAGCAGGTCCCCACTCCCAAAGGCCACGTGCCCACGGTGGTCTCTGGTGCCTGAGACCCCAGTCTCATTTGCATCTGTGCAACTTTGAGTTTAAGTGGGTGCCACATCTCTGTATGTCCTCCTGAGCAGAGGAGGGGCACAGCCTGGGGTGGCAACTGGCGTCAATCCCTCAAATCCCCTGGGAGCCACCCAGGAGACCAAGAGTCCCCAGCTCCCACTTGTCCCTGAGCTGCCATTCTCAGCCCTGTGGGAGGAGACAAAAATCCCTGAAGAGAAACCAAAAGATCAGGTCAGGAGGGGCTGGGGAGTGGCATGAGCAATCAGGGCAGGGAAGGATGGACAGATGGGGGAATGGAGGGAGGAAGGAATGACTCAAAAGGTGAATACATGAACAAAAGAGAGAGAACAGCCACGCCTCCCTTGCTTTAGTTTACAAAGCACTGGGATCCTCCCAAAAGCCTGCAAGACAGAACTTCTGGGAAGCAGACCAGGTGGCTGGCAGGGAGGGGAGGCTTGCCCCGGCTTTTGTGGGCCCAATGGCAGGCAGGGGGCAGGAAGGGGCGTCCTGTATGTATCCTCTCTGCAGCGGAGGCCTCCCTTGGGCTGGGTTTCCTGGAAGAGGGTCAGGAAACACCCGCCGTGGCCCCTCTCCACCACACCCTCATCCTGGACACCAAGTATCAGTCACTTAGCTCACCAGACCCAGGCCCTGACTCAGGGAGAGAGGGTGTGAGGTGTGGGGCACCAGGCTCCCCAGGACTGAGAGACCCGAGATGTGGTCCTGGGCTGGGAATTGGGGCAGACTGGCTATGGTAGCATTGTGTGTATCCCAGCAAGCCAGTATCCACACAGGGATACTGGATACCCCTTATGACCCTAGGAGAAGACCCCAGCCTTGGAGAATTGGCCTCACTGAAGGGGCCTGCATCGGCCAGCAAGGTCAGGCGGGGCCAGACCGGTTCCCACCTGGGATATGCAAATGGGCCTCCTGAATCCTGGAGCCAGGTGTGGACTCACACACCACCACTGTCCCTAAGTCCCAATCTGCCCCACGGCACACCCTGCCACCTGTTCTGTGCAAAGGCCCTGAGGCTGCCTCCTTGAGCCCAAGCCCTGCAGGCACTGAAGCCCACACACACAGCTCCTGCTCCCTGGGCCAGTGCACGTGCATGCACGCACACACACACTCATACACACACACACACCCCTTCTCCAGGAGAGGCTGGCTGCCAAAGGTCACCCAGCTCCCTCCCACCTCTCAATCACCATCCAATATCCGAGCAGACCTTCGAGTCAGCAGCAACAGCAGCGTGTGCAAAGGCCTGGGGGCCACAGCAGGCCTAGTGTCGAGAGAGGACCACAGCCAGCACAATGACAGCCAGTGCCAGCCCCAGCCCCAGCAGGACCAGGCTGATCAAGGCCCTGCAGTCCCAGGACATGGCTCTGTTGCCCAGGAGGAGAGGGAAGGCTGGTGGGCAGACAGAGGGACAGATGGGTGGGCAGATGAATGGACAAGAAGACACACAGATAGACTCACAGATAATTGGACAGATGGACAAACAGGTGGGGCCACAGACAGACACGAAGATGGATCAACAGACAGGCCAAATAGCTAGATAAAGAGAACAGTAAGAGAAGGATGGTCAGATAGACAATGGGACAGAGATGGCCTTAAAAATGGGGGCACAGACAGACAGGTCTGAACAGTGGGCTGCCAGATGGACAGATGGGTAAATGGACAGACGGCTGGCAGCTGTGGCGAGCTGCTGCCCTCCCCAAGTGCACACTATGGAGTGGCCAAACTCACGCCTCAACTTCTAGTTTTCAGCTCCTGCTTGTTCCTGGCAGGAGGCCAGGCAGCAAAGCATCTGAGGGGAGTTTTCCTTGCCTAGAGAAGCCAGCTGCTGTGGTAACTCCCTCACTGCTGGCAGATACCAAGGCCCTGCCTGCCACTCACTGGAGCCCAAGGTCACACTGTCCCAATGTGCAGGAGAACTTGGTGCCTGCTGCACTGCGGTTGCAGGTGGGGGCAGGGCTCCCAGGAATCTCCACACCATTCCCGGGGTTCCTGGCAGCTCAGGGAAAGGAGAGCTGGGGCTGCTCAACTCTCTGCCCTGGATCCAGCAAGGCTGCCCCTCCCAGAGTGGAGCCCCACTCCCCAGCTCCCATCTCTATCGCCTAACCCGCTCTGCATGGCCCAGCACAGGCAGCATCGAGGTGGAGCTGAACAGAGACAGAGGGAGAGGGACCCAAGGTGGTGTCACTTAGGGCTTGGATTCAAGTCCCTACACTTCTGCAGCCTGGCCTGGGTCCCATAACCCCCCAGGGTGACCAAGGGCTTCCCGGTCTGCACAGAGGACAGCGGGACTTGACAGCATCAAAGGCTGGTGACTACAAGACGTCCATGTGGGGAATGCAGACAGACCATGCCTCTAGCCCTTGGCACCTGGGACCATCCATCCCTGGGACTTGCTGTCCTGGAAACGCAGCGTGGGCCTCCAGGAAGGGAGGCTGTGCCGCCTAGGTGCCACGCCCAGCCTGCAGCTCTTCCCCACCCTGGCTGCGGGTCTGCTTCCCTGAATCCAAATCCGCTATTACTGTGCTGGCAGCGCAGCCTCTCTGGGGACACTGGCCTGGCCCTGTTCTCCCCAGGCCTCAGGGTGTCTAAATGCGAGACAGCAAGGGGAGTGAGGACCCACTGAGGGGCTCTGTTGACCAGGCTCAGCAGGGGTGCAGGTGATGTGGGCTGGAATCCTTCCCACATGGCTCCTCCAGTCCTCCCCACTTCCTTCCCAGCTGAGCACTGCCTGCTCCAGATGTCTACACCTGGAGTCAGGGCCCCCCAACCTGGGCAGCAGAGAAACTGAGGCACAGAGACAGCCTGTGCCCTTACAGGCCACACAGCCTGCCAGGCCCCAATGTCCCAGCCAGAGCCTCTAGTCAGCCTGGGCCTGAGTGCTTGTTTACAGGCAGGCTGTTTCCACGGCTGCCTCTCGCGGTGGGGGCCTGTGGACGCCTCTTCCCGCCCCTACCCGACTCCCAAGCCTCAGTGACTTTGCTCAACCAGGAGCTGAAATGCATTCCTGGGCTCAGGCCAGCCCACCCACCCACCCACTGCAGTCCTGGAAGCCCAGAGACCAGGGCAGCAGGAACAGTGGAGACAGCAGTGGAGGGGACGTCCCCCCTCCTCTCCCCACCACCCTGGTCAGGCAGAGGCCAGGGTGCAGGGACCGCCTGAGCAAAGGCCCAGGGAAAAGAATGGGTGTCATTCTGGTTTTGGCCCGAGGCACAGCCAGGGAGGTCCCTGAATGTCCTTCCTCAGGAAATGATGGGGGAAGGGGCAAAGAGAATGGAGAGGATTTAAGTTCCCCACCCCCCAAGGTAGTCCTGGGCTGAGCCCCACGGGACTTGTAGAACCAGGGTGTACCCCACCAGTGCGTCGGGTCCAGGAAGCCTCGTGGCCAGCTCCCACTTCTCTTGCTGCTGTGCAACCCAGAGCAAGGCCTGCCCCTCCAGCCTCAGTCTTCTCCCCTGCAAACGGCGCCACGACCTTTCCTCTCAGGCCAAAATAAGGATTGAGGCCGGGTGCAGTGGCTCATCCCTGTAATCCTAGCACTTTGGAGGCCAAGCTGGGAGGACTGCTTGAAGTCTGGAGTTTAAGTCCAGCCTGGTCAACATAGTGAGACCCCATCTCTATTTGTTTAAGTAAAATTAAAAAATAAATAAAATAAGGATTGAGGAGTGACATGTACACCAGTTGAGCCCACCTCCATCTCACCCCTGGGGAGCCCCAGGGACACAGCCCTCCAGGGCTTAGACCCGGTGGTACTCAACTCCGCAGGCACAAAACCCAGTATGTCTGTGGGCCCTTTGGTATCACCAGGTTTTCGGGGCTTCTAGAGGAGAGCCCCAACCTGGCTTCACCTGGCTCCTGGCCCCAGTGCCCCTGATGATACCCAGGTGCTGGGCTGTGATCACCGCCCCCCACCAGCCCACCTCCACCAGCCTTTCCCAGATCCCTGCCCCAGGTGTTGGAACTGTGCCCGGAGGAGGGAGCAGGCCCCGAGGGAGGCCGGGAGGGGCTGCCGATGGTGAAGGCTGCTGTGTCTAGCTGTTCCCTTCCAGACCCACTCCCTCTGGGCTGTGCCTCCGGCTGGTCCAAGCCCTGATCCCTGGAATCTGAAGACCTCCTCCAGTTTGCTGTTCCCTGAGAACCAGGCCTCCCTCCGGAGAGGGTCACAAGCTTGGGTTTCACTCTGGGCTTGCTCTTGGAAACCCCCCAGGAGCTTGGCTCTGACCAAGATGTTTTGCTCCAGCCTCTTGCCAAATCCCCACTCCTCGGACATCAGCTTCATGAACTCCTGTGTCTTTGGCAGGGTGAGCCGGACACTGGCTCGTCTGAGAAGGTGCCTGGTTCCGGGCATCAGCTGGTCACTCTCTGCCTAAGAAAGCGCCAGGGTCACTGCATCCCCTGGTGGCTGATCCTAGGTATTGTCACCACCCAGCCCCAGTAAGGGAGGGCCTGGCTCCAAGTCCCAGGATGGGTTCAGGGCTGGGAGGGGCAGGGCTTGGGGTGGACCTGCCCTTGGCCCCCAGCCACAGGCCTGGCTCTGCCCATGATGAAGATACTGAGGCTAGTTCCAGCGCCTGCAGTGTGAAGATCTCTGAATCCCACCTCTCCATTCCTCCGCAGCCAGATGGCTCCATTTCACACACAATACACTGAGGCCCAGAGAGTGGGGAGCCAGGCCAGGGAGGCCACCTTGAGCCTGGCACAGCAGCCTCATTTATCGTGCTGCTCTGCCACTCACAGGGGAAGCACGACCCCAAAGTCCCCTTCCCGGTCCTGGTGAGTATCTTGTGCCTGGATTGCTGGCCAGCCTTCTCTGCCCTGAGCACTCAGTAGCCAGCAGGCTCCCCGCCTTTCCTGGAGTCCGAGGCAGCTGCCCAGCCACCAGCCGTGCGACGGCTTGCACCACAGCGATGAAGGTGGACATGATCTGGGTGTGATGGTGCCGGGTCTCCAGGGCTGCAGTCACTGCCTGGGGGTGGGAGGAGACGGGAAGCCTGAGCAGGGCTCCAGATGCCACCTGAACCATGCCCGTGTGGTCACAGGCCTCAGCCCAGGCGATGCCATTTCAGTCCAGGTCATCAGGAAGAGCAGGTTGGGGCCTGCTGGGTCTCACTGGAGCAGGTGGCTTGGCCCTCACGGTTCAGGGGCTCCAAATGGCCCAGGCACCAGAGAGAGGACACCAACCATTGTCCACTCTGTGGCGACCCAGGCCTCCAGCCCAGGAAGACCTGGGGCGCCACACAGTGACTCAGTTTCCCAAGCCCCTGGCCCACCCGGTCAATGCTTCTCTCCACTGTCGTGATGTTGGGTAGAGCTGGTCGTGCAGCCGGGGCTCCTCCACAGTTCACTTCACATCACAGCACGGGCCCGCTGAGCGGCGCGCTGGGCATGTACAGCACCGCGTCTCCCAGGCTGATGTTCAGCGGGTGCTCAATCAGCTCAGCGCGGTAGTTGTTCACATCCTCAGCTGTCACAATGCCCCCTGCAATGGGACAGCAGCTCGAATGGGCGCTGGGATGGAGCTGCACCAGTGGTGTTGGGGGCAGGCACGGCTGCACCACAGTGGTGGGGAAAAGCCTGTACCTACCAGGGAGGACAGAGTGCATTACTGGAGGGGGTGGGACTGTGCCCTGGGAGGGGGCCACAGGCAACCTCATCCCCTCCTGAGCTCTTGTCTCCCTGACACTGCCTACCACCCCACAGCTTCCTGGCTTCCTTCTCTCCTCTGTGGCCAGAGAGTGCTTTCCTTTTTCTTTTTTAGACATAGGATCTTGCTCTGTCACCCAGGCTGGAGTACAGTGGCTTAATCACAGCCTTGAACTCCTGGGCTCAAGTGATCCTCCAGCAGATCCTCCCCAGTAGCTGAGGCTAAAGGTGGCACCACCACACCCAGCAAATTTTAATTTTTTTGTAGGGTCTTGCTGTATTACTTTTCAGTATGCTTTGAATTTTTTATGTTTTCTGGTTCCCCACCCCCACTCCCACTATATTTATGTAGACTCTCAATATGTTTTTTTGTAGTCTCGCTATGTTGCCCAGGCTTGTCTTGGACTCTTGTCCTCAACTTCTACCTCAGCCTCCCAAAGTGCTGGGATCAAAGGCGTGAGACACCAAGCTTGGCCTCAGAGGGCTTATTCTTTTCCCCTGTCGCCCAGTCTGGAGTGCAGTCAGTGGTACGATCTCGGCTCACTCAAGCCTCCTGGGTTCAAGTGATTCTTCTGCCTCAGCCTCCTGAGTAGCTGGGATTACAGGCACAAGCCACCATGCTCAGCTAATTTTATGTTTTTAGTAGAGATGGGGTTTCACCATGTTGCCCGTGTGGGTTTTGAACTCCTGACCTCAGGTGATCCACCCATCTTGGCCTCCCAAAGTGCTGGGATTACAACAGATGTGAATCATGGTGCTCGGCTCAGAGGGCATTTTCTTTTCTTTTCTTTTCTTTCTTTTTCTTTTCTGAGTCAGAGTCTCACTCTGTTGCCCAGGCTGGAGTGCAATGGCGCGATTTTGACTCACTATAACCTCCGCCTCTCGGGTTCAAGCGATTATCCTGCCTCAGCCTCCTGAGTAGCTGGGATTACGGGCACATGCCACCACACCTGGCTAAATTTTTTTTTTTTTTTGTATTTTTAGTAGAGGCGTGGTTTCACCAGGTTGGTCAGGCTGGTCTTGAACTTGTGACCTCGTGATCTGCCCACCTCGGCCTCCCAAAGTAATCAGAGGGCCTTTTCTAAGTGGAGAATTCCTGCCGGTGTCCCAGCCATTTGGCCTCTTCTCCTCACGATGAATGGATAGAGGGAGGGAGGGAGGCTCTTTGTTCTCCCAGAGTCAGCTCCAGACAGACAGGGTATTGGCACGCTAATTTCTAGCCTCAGTGGTAAAGGTCGACATGCTAATCACCCTCCTCCATGAAACAGTGACAAAAATTATCTGAAGAAAGCCGCAGCCAAGCTCCAGGCCCCTGCCCCACAAAGCCCCTTCCCCACGCCTCTCTCAAGGTGACCCTCATCCCTTGTAACCCTCTTGGTGAATCAAAGCCCCCTCTCCCTGGGCCTTAGCCCAGCTGTTCCTCTGCCAGGAATCCCTTCCTCTCTCTGCCTAACACAGTTATCTGCAGCCCAGTCACCACCTCCTCCAAGAAGTCCTCCTGGATCTTCAGGCTGTATTCTAGTGCTTCCCTACCCTGGCTCTTGCCTACACCTGCATTTACCCCACCAGGGGCTTGCTCTCCTGGACCGCAAGGCCTCTCTTGGCTTTGACATAACCAGGAGCCGTGAACCCACATGGCTGGCCACTGACCCTCCTCCACCAGGAACTTCCTGCAGGCTCAGGCAGGACAGGAGGACCCCAGGGCTCTGGGCCCCAGCTCAGGGTTTCCACTGCAGGGTTCCTCACCCCTGAGGTTACCCACTCACCGGCTGCCTGGATGTCCTTCACAATCTGGGCCGTGAGGCTGCCGTTGTAGAAGGCCTGGGCGCCCTCGATGGCCAGCGTCTCGTAGGTGTCAGCCAGCCGCGGCAGGGTCAGTCTCTCCCCCTCCCGAAGCACTTTTCCATCCCGGCAGAACACCTCACTGGGGCAGAGGGGACTCACGTGAGGAAGCAGGTGGGATGGACTCAGCTAGACCATCCCCTACACCCACCCACACAGGAGAACGGAGCAAAGCAGGGGCAGCACCTGTCACAGGTGGGTGGCCCCGTCACTCAGCGCTCATCCTCCGTGTCCCTTCCGGGAGCCTCCTAGTGTCCCTTGTCATTCAGGACACACGGCCAGCCACAATGGTCACTGGGACCCCAGGCTCAGAATGTGTCCCCACACGTGGTGGGAAGGGTCTGCATCTCCTCAGCTCATTATCAGTGCGGGGTCCGGAGGGCAGAGGGCCGCTCCGCTGCTGCTAGGGGCCTGCAGGGTCCTTGGACTGTGCCTGCACTGCCTGTGTCAGGGGGCCGCACCCACAGACATACCACAAGACAGGCTGCTGCTCGATGACGGTCCGCTTGTTTTCCAGGGCTGCCCCCAAGCCCTTGCCCACGGGGAAGCCCTGGCGGGCCAGCTGGATGCTGGGCTGGAAGAGGCGAGCCCAGGTCAGCCGCCCACGCCACTGGTGCGCCAGCTCAAAGCCTCGGATCTCTCTGGGCACTGCCACCGACAGTCCCCCTGGGGGGAGAGAGCCACAGTTAGAGGCCCAGAGTGGGGGATACGGGAATCTCTCACAGGCATCATTCCAGGCACATTCCCTGACTCGTTTTACAGATGGGGCAGAGGCTTAGAAGGAAAGTTTTGGGTTTTTTTCTGTTTTGAGATGGGGTCTTGCCATCTTGCCCAGTCTGATCTTGAACTCCTGGACTCAAGTAATCCTCCCACCTCAGCCTCTGGAGGAGCTGAGATTATAAGCATGAACCACCACACCCAGCAGAAGGGGATGTTTAAGGTCATATCTGGGCTCGGCCGGCAGGAGTGTCCATGGACCAGGGATGTCTGAGGAGAGCACAGGAGGGGAAGCAGTAGCATGCAACTGGGTTTTGCTGTCCCAGGATGAGGTTTCTGTCTGTGCAGGTGCCTGCGTGTCTAAATCCTGTGCCAGGCCAGACCCCTCCCATCTCGCTGACCACAAGGCCTTATCCTGTAACACTCGTGGGCTCCACCAGAATGTGCCAAAGCAAGAGCAGGTCCTTCCCTGACCCAGGTCAAGCACAGGCCGCCCTCAAGACCCAGTCAGCCCTAAGAAAGGGCTCTCTTCCTCTTTTCAACTGCCCCAGAGGCAAGACCTGAGCCTTAACCTCTGTCCTATTCCCTCTCCCAACCTCAGTTTCTCTGTCCAACTATAAGGGTGTTTTCTTTTGAGACAAGGTCTCACTCTGTTGCCCCAGCTGGAGTGCAGTGGTGCAATCACGGCTCACTGCAGCCTTGGCTTTCCAGGCTCAAGTGATCGTCCCACCTCAGCTTCAGAAGTACCTGAGACTACAGACATACCCCACCACATGCAGCTAATTTTTTTTTCTTTTGAGATGGAGTTTCACTCCTGTTGCCCAGGCAGCAGTGCAGTGGTGCCATCTCGGCTCACACCAACCTCCACCTCCCAGGTTCAAGCGATTCTCCTGCCACAGTCTCCCAAGTAGCTGGGATTACAGGCACGCACCATCATGCCCCGCTAATTTTTGTATTTTTAGGAGAAACGGGGTTTCACCATGTTGGAAAGGCTGGTCTCAAACTCCTGACCTCATGATCTGCCTTGCCTCCACCTCCCAAAGTGCTGGGATTACGGGTGTGAGCCACTGCACCCAGCGTAGATTTTTAATTTTTTTGTAGGGACAGAGATCTCACTATATTGCCAAGGCTGCTCTCAAACTCCTGGCCTCAAGCAATCCTCCTACCTCAGTCTCCCAAAGTGCTAGGACTACAGGTGCACCCGGCCTATAAGGGCTTTTGCCTTCCAGTTCTGACTTTCGAGGAGGTCATTGGAAACAGACCCTGTTTCCCCTAAAGACAGCAGGGAAACCTGCTTCCCCTCTGAGCCCCACTGTCCATACGTACACTAGACACTGACCCTTTTTGCCCAGAAAGATACAACTATGGCCTCTGCCTCCAAGTATTCTCCTGCTCTCGCCAGAGATGACGGGGGTCATTTGGCTACTCCCAGGCTTGGTGACTGCAGCTCTAGAACTGCCTCTCCCACCCTGAAGCCTGGCACAAGTGTCCAAGAGCCAGTGGTTTCAATTCCTAAAGGCTGCACATACATCCCAGAAGGTCTGACACCCAGCACACAACTCTTCTACCTTACAGTTAGACAGAAGAAGTTCTAATCTTTGATAGCAGACCAGGACGACACTTAGCAACGGTATGTTGTATATTTCAAAGTAACTGGAAGAGAGGACTGTGATGCTAACACCCAGAAATAAATACTCAAGGTTATGGAGACTCCAAATACCCTGCCTTCATCATTATACACTCTATGCATGTAACAAGCACTCACATGTACCCGTAAATATAGAAAATATCATATATCAATATCAGAAAAAAAATCTAACCTCAGGCCAATCAGGCTCTCATGCCACCACACTTGCCAAGCTCTCCGGCGATCCCCACACTGCCAGACCCAGTCCCCCCTCTCAACTTTACTGGGCTCATCACTTTCCCTGAGAGCCACCCCTGCATCCCAGCACCTGGCTCCACCCGAGTGTCCCCCGCCTGCCATCCTACCTCCTGCTCTCCTCTCTGTCTTTGCTCTCTCTCCCGGTGGTCTGCCTGACATCTGAGCTTCAGCCTCCATTTATGCACTGACAACTCCCAAATTGACCTGCTGGCCTGGACTGCTCCTCAAATTGCCAGACCTGAGTATCTACCTGCCTGCTCGAAGAAAGCATCTCAAACTTAAACGTGCCCAAAACCGAGCTCCTGAGTGTCCGCTCAGACCTGCTTCCTGAGAGCCCTGCCTGTCTCTTTCAGGGTCACCCCATCTCTCCAGGTACAGACAAAAGATCTGGGGTCCTCGGGGACTCCCTACACCAGCATCACACCCAACCCATCCTCAAATCCACAGGCTCCACTTCCAAGTGTGTCTGTCCAGCGTCAACCACTTCCCACCACCCTCTCCATGAATTATTGCAGTGACTTCCAGACAGGTCCCCACATGCTCCCTATCCCTTACACAGCAACCCAAGGGGTCCACAGGTCAGATGCATCCCCTTCCACTCACACACTCCACGGGCCCCCACTTCCTTCGGACAAGAGGCAGAGGCTTCACCATGACCTAAGAGATCCCATACAACCTGGGCCGTTCCCTTCGGGTCACTTGTTGCAGCCTCCCCAGCTCCCCACAGGGCACTGTCCCTGTCCATCACATTTGGATCACTTGGTCTTCCCCCAGACATCATACAGCTCCCCTGACCCCACCTCTGCCTCTGGGTCTTTGCCCTTCCCTGACTAGGTCACCCTCCATAGAGTCCCAGATATTGAGGCCCTCCAGGTCTGCTTTTCCAAAGCCCGTAGCACACCCATACCTACCTAGTTTCTCCTCCAACATGGAACCTCACAGATTTCATCTGCCATCTTTGTTTTTCACCCCAGCTTCAGGAACACCTGATTCTTTAAGAGATGCTCAATACATTCTAGTTAAAGAAATGATTCCAAGTGTCCACAAGGTACCAAATCTATGATTCCCGCATTCTCTTACCCTGAGCAATTTCATGTCTACAGATGCTGAGTTTCTCAATGAATATTAAAAAAATTAAGAGTCAGTATGTTGCGGAGGACTCCAAAAGGCACCACCAAGGATCCCCACCTGAGGTCTAAGACTTGCTATGGTGAGTGTTCCCTGCCCCTCCAACCTCCAACTTTTTTTTTGAGATGGAGTTCTACTCTTGTTGCCCAGGCTGGAGTGCAGTGGCATGATCTCAGCTCACTGCAACCTCTGCCTCCCGGGTTCAAGTGATTTTCCTGCCTCAGCCTCCCATATAGCTGGGATTACAGGTGCACACCATCACGCCTGGCGAATTTTTGTATTTTTAGTAGAAACAGGGTTTCACTATGTTTGCCAGGCTGATCATGAACTCCTGATGTCAGGTGATCCACCCACCTCAGCCTCCCAAAGTGCTGGGATGACAGGTGTGAGCCACCACACCCGACCTTTTGTTGTTGTTGTTGTTGTTGTTGTTGTTGAGATAGGGTCTCACTTTGTTGTCCAAGGTAGAGTACAGTGGTACAATCATGGCCACATCACCATGCCTGGCTAATGTTTTTTTTCTTTTTTCATTTTTTGTAGAGACAGAGTCTTGCTATGTTGCCCAGGCTGGTCTCAAATTCCCGGGCTCATGCGATCCTCCTGACTTGGCCTCGTAACATGCTAGTATTACAGGTGTGAGCTATTGAGCCCCACTCATCCTCCAACTTTTACCCCACAATCTATTCTGCCTCCTTTGAGCAGTGTCCCTGGATAGACAACAGCTTCCCCTCAGGTACCTGGGGAATTTGGGGGCCTCCTCTCCACTGAAGACCAGATTGGAAAAGAGAGACTCTACCTCACACTCTAGAGCGCCATCCCCACAAATGAACAAATGAGTGAATGGGATGCCTGTTGAAAAGGCAGGAAACAGACAGCCTGGGTTCAATTTTAGCTTTACCACTCCCTAGCTGTGTGACCTCAGCTGATTTGCATGACCTCTCTGAGCCTCAGCATCCCCACCCTGTAAAATGGGAATCCACACAGCATCCCCTATCGCAAAGGAGCAGGCAGGGGTGTGAGGGGCTCATGGGTGAAAAACACGGAGCAGAGCGTAGGCCCCAGTGAGCCCTGGTCCATGAGGGCTGCTAGTGTAATAATTATTCTCTCCGTCTGCTGCACAGGGTGGCCCTGGAGGCCTTAGCAGAAATAACAGAAGTTTCTGGCCCTTTACCCTGGTGATGATGGTCCTGACCACTCATTGTGGGAGGGTGCTATGGGGCCAGGAAGGGATGGAGGTGCTAGAACTGCCCCTGGACCCTGATGGGGCCAGGCTCCTGTGGGCAAGGCCCCTTTCTGGTGGCCCAGCTGGCTCTGCACCCACGCCCCAAGCCTGCAGGATGGCTTACCCTTCTGGGACTGCCCCGAGCTTTTGAACATGCCGGCAAAGGCCAGCCTGGGGGCCACCTCACAGGCGTTGATGACCTCAGCTTTTCCTAGGAGAAGCAGGTAGGCAGACTGACCCACCCAAACCCTTCATGCCCTGTGAGCCCAGGGGCCACTCAACTGTGCCTCGGCCCAATCCACACCCCCTGCCCCTCTCCCTCGCCTCTCCTGAGGCACTCACGCGTGGTGCTGTTGTAGATGGTGAAGAACAGGCCGCCCCCGATGCCCATGCTGTGGGTGTTCATGAGCCCCACATACAACAGGGCTGCAATGGCTGCATCCACCGCAGAGCCATCGTCCCGCAGTGCGTCCCTGCCATGTGGCACATAAAAGGGTGAGAACCCACAGGCTTCCATCCTGGCCCACCTGCTCAAAGGAGGATGGAAGAGAAGTCCATTCGAGTTTTGGAGTTTTTGTTTTTCTCTTTTTCTTTTTTTCTGAGACAGAGTCTCACTCTGTCGCCCAGGTGGGAGTGCAGTGGTGTGATCTCAGATCACTGCAGGCTCAACCTTCTGGGCTCAACTGACCCTCCCACCTCAGCCTCCCAAGTAGCTGGGACTACGGGCACATGCCACCACCCCCGGCTAATTTTTGTTTGTTTGTTTTGCTGTTTGTAGAGCAGGGATTTCACCATGTTGCCCAGGCTGGTTGAGAACTCCTGGGCTCAAGTGATCTGCCCACCTTGGCCTCCCAAAGCGCTGGTACTACAGGTGTGAGCCACTGCATCCGGCCTTTGTTTTATGAGACAGGGTCTCACTTTGTCACCCAGGATGAAGCACAGTGACACGGTCATGGCTCAATGCAGCCTTGACCTCCTGGGCTCAAACAATCTTCCCACTTCAGCCTCCTGAGTAGCTGGGACTACAGGTTTGAACCACCACAACTGGCAATTTTCTGTCTTTCTTGTAGAGATAGGGTCTCCCTATGTTGCCCGGGCTGGTCTCAAACTCATGGGCTCAAGTAATACTCCCGCCTCAACCTCCTGAAGTGCTGGGATTACAGTTTTCTCTTTTCTTTTTCTTTCTTTCCTTTTTTTCCTAGACAGAGTTTCACTCAGTTGCCCAGGCTGGAGTGCAAGTGGCATGATCTCAGTTCACTGCAACCTCTGCCTGCTGGGTTCCAGTGATTCTCCTGCCTCAAACTCCCAAGTAGCTGGGATTACAGGTGCATTCGACCACGCACGGCTAATTTTTTGTATTTTCAGTAGAGATGGGGTTTTACCATGTTGGCCAGGCTGGTCTCAAACTCCTGATCTCGGGTGATCCACCTGCCTCAGCCTCTCAAAGTGCTGGGATTACAGGTGTGAGCCACTGTGCTCTGCCAGTTCCCTCTTTATCAAGCAAACAAACGTATGTAACTTATATAATTGGGACACAAAGGGAAATTGCTATATTTTATTAATAATTTTTTTCTTTTTTTTTTTTTTCTGGCTGGGGATGGCGGTTTTCACCAGTAATCTCAGCATTTTGGGAGGCCAAGATGGAGGATTACTTGAGGCCAGCAGTTCAAGACCAGCCTGGGCAATACAGTGAGACCTCATCTCTACAAAACAGTCTTTTTATTAGTCAGATGTGGGCTATGATCACTCCTCTACACTCCAGCCTGGGCAATAGGGTAAGACTCCACCTTTAAAAAGAGAAATAAGCCAGGCACGGTGGCTCACACCTGTAATCCCAACACTTTGGGAGGCCGAGGTGAGTATATCACCTGAAGTCAGGAGTTCGAGATCAGCCTGGCCAACATGGTGAAACCCCATCTCTACTAAAAACACAAAAATTAGGCTGAGCGCAGTGGCTCATGACTGTAATTCCAGCACTTTGGGAGGCAGAGGTGGACGGATCATGAGGTCAGGAGTTCGAGACCAGCCTGGCCAAAATAGTAAAACCCCATCCCTACTAAAAATACAAAAATTAGCTGGGTATGGTGACACATGCCTGTAGTCCCAGCTACTCAGGAGGCTCAGGCAGGAGAATGGCTTGAACCTGGAAGGTGGAGGTTGCAGTGACCTGAGATCGCACCACTGCATTCCAGCCTGGGTGACACAGTGAGACTCTGTCTTGGGAAAAAAAAATTAGCTGGGCATGGTGGTTTATGCCTGTAATCCCAGCTACTCAGGAGGCTGAGTTATAAGAATCGCTTGAACCCAGGAGGTGGAGGTTGCAGTGAGCTGAGATCATGCCACTGCACTCCAGCCTGGGAGAAAGAGTGACTCCAACTCACAATAAATACATAAATAACTAAAAATAAAAAGACAAATACATAAAAATAACAACCAAACAACAAAACAGTGGAGTTTATCCAAAGACACAGAGACTTTTAGAACTGGGAAAAAGGGCCCTATTGGGCTCTAGGAGACGCACACCCTGCTCTCGGGGTCACCGTCCCCTACCCAGAGGCTACTGAGAGAGTACAAGCAAAGAACAGGTAGCTATGCACATGGGACACCCCGTGCCCAGGCAACCTGCTTACATGTGGGGAAACTGATTCTCAGAGGGGCAAAGGTATTGCCCAGGTCCGCTTGCCCTGTTTCCAGGGCCCATGCCCCTATGCCCTGCCCTGTTCACCTCCCAATCTCCGAGCAGCGCTTGGCATCTGCAGCCACGGCAGCCCTGGCGTACACATGGTTGTCAGGTTCCTTGGAGGCTGACAGCAGCCAGAGACAGAGGCCAACAATGACCAGCACCAGGACAACGGCCAGCAGACCCAGCACCACTAACTTCTTCATGGCTCTGCTGCATCCACGGGGCAAGGAGCAGGGTCAGGACCAGCCTCAGACACTCCCTGGCCCCTCTCCAACAGGGAACAGTCTAAAGTCAGGCCTCAGAAACACAGGCCCAGGGTCTCCTTCCCGCCTCCCAGAATGTGTGCATGCTGTCCAGGCCTGGGGGTGGGCACCTCCGAGGAGGAGCAGAGGAAAGGAAGGAACAGGAGCTGCCAGAGAACCCATAAGCTTACCTAGTCCCAGAGGGGACAAGAGGCCAGCCAGGGGGTGCCCAGCAATCCTGGGGGACAGTGGAAGGTGTCTACACAGGGTGCAGGACAGGCAGGCCTCTAACAGAGGTCCAGCCTGGCCAGGAGGATGGGGAGGCTGACATCATAGCAGCAAGGAAGCGCACGGTGACTCTGCATGGTAACTCAGCCTGTCACCAGGTGACTAAAGTTTACGCAGCCCTGGGAGGGCCCTGGGTAGGAGGTATTACGAGCCGGGGAACGGGGTTTCCACCTCCCAGGCTCAGTTTCCTCCAAAGGGCACTGTCTACCCACAACCCCTCCAGTGAGCCCCAGGCTAGGTTCCCCTCTGCCTCTCCCTGTCCCTGTTCAGAACATCTGAACTCACAGCCAGTGTCCGGGAGATGCCTCTGGAGATGGTGGAGCAGTGGTGTCCCTGGCGCCAGACTGGAATGCAGCCTAAGGGGCCTCACCACACCCTGCTGTGAATATCAAAGGTGTGTTCTGGAAACATGGCCTCAGGCCCTGAGTACAGACTGGTTCTGCTGCCCATCCAGAAACATTAGCACCCCAGGCCCAAGGAACCACCTGAACAGCCCAGAAACGCAGGGCGCAGAGGGGGCCTGAGCTGGCCCAAGCTCACACAGTCCAGCAGTGCAGCCTTGGCCACTTGGTAACTGCCCCAAGTTACTGCATGTTTCTAACCAGCCCACCAAGAACTCTGAGCCAGGAACAGCCATGGGCCCAGCCCACGGGACCTTGGATACTGCTGCCCATGCCCTGTGGCTCTCATCTGCCAAGGATATGGGCCAGAGGCTCCATGAGTCATGGCTCCCTCCCCTGTTCCTGGGCCTGCTGTGCCTACAGTGCCAGAGAGCCCCTGCAGCCTCCACCTGAGGTCTACTCCCATAACACCTACCCCACAATCATCCTTCCAGGCTGCCCCAGCTGACAGAAGCGGACATGAAGGCTGACCCAATATTGCTGCCTGCCTGGGTCACATAGGCCTGTCCTGTCACCCACTGTTCTCAAATGCGCTCTGGACAGAACCCACCAGACACACAACTGTGAGATCCTCAATAGCCCTAGGGTGGAGGTGCTATGACCAAGCCCTTTTTTCCCTGGCTGTTTCTCCGCCTGAAGATCAGGGTGACTGGGAAGATGACGGGGCAGGAACCAAGGCCCCGTGACCTGTCCCTGAAGGCTAGACAGCAGACAGGAACCTCAGGGGATTTGGCTCTGCTAAGTGGCTGCATTCCACAGCAGTCAGCTGGGAGGGGTCTAAAGTGGAGAGTCACAGGGCTCCGTCCCCTGCCCTGGCCGGCTCAGCAGTTTCCTCTACGCCTGAGAGCATATGAGACATGCAGGATTCACAGCAGCAGGTGGGCACGAAGAATGTCTGAGTGGGCAAAGGATGGTCCAGACCCCTGTAGCTGACCCCAAAAGGAAAACCCCGGGCTGGGGAAAGTAAGGAGACAGAGAGCTGCCTGAGACGGGGCACAGAAGAAGCCTGGCAGCAGCTGCGGGTTCCAGAGAGGGGAGAGAGGAGAGGAGGCACTTTATCAAGGTCATGTCAACAGAGGTAGGGCCTACAGAATGAAGGAGGCTTTTCCTCACATGCTGAGTGTGTCGCATTCTGTCCCAGTCAGCCCTCTACTGGCTGAATGCAGAGAGGGCACCTAGGGGGAAGTGGATCTGGGGAAGCCATCTCACCCAAGGAAAGACTGCAAGGGAGCTGGCCTAGAATTCTTCTCCAGACCCCACAGTTCTTGCCCTGGGCACAAAAGGTAGTGAGTTCCCAGTCCCCAGAAATGTACAAGCCTCACTCACCCAGAGACACTGACTCTGCTGTCAGTACCACACACTTCCAACACACGTGCAAGCACACGTGCGCACACACAACTGAGCCTAATCTAGGCTGAGCAGAGCAGCTTCCCATGATGCAGCAGAGAGAGGAAGACGTAGACACGGCAGCCAGTATGAAGTTTCCTGGTTAATCCTTCAACGCAGCTTGATGGCTTTGTCACCACAACCCCAGAGCCACAAGACTGAAACCAGAGCACAGCCCCAACCCCATTCACAGGCAGAAAACTGAAGCTTAGACAAAAGGGATTTACCAAGATCAGCTGGCCCCAGGAGGTCTCAGACCTGAGGGTGAGCCCAACACCCAGCATGGAGTCACTAGCCCTGGGTATGAGAACGCACAGATCTCTGGGGCTTCCCCAGGCCTGTCTACACCCCTGGACTGGATGCTTACCCCCCAGACCTGGAGTTGGAATCTGTCTCCCACACTGTCTACGCTTGCAGCGCAGAGTTGAGAATGAGAAAAAACACCCCTTCAGTAAGATTTAATAACCCCTACCTGCTGGGAACCTGTTGAAAGAACTGTATGTATCCCTATAGAGAGCTGAGAGGTGGCAGGCGCCCCCTGGAGTTGGGCAATGACCCCTCGCACAACCGGCCCTGTCCCACTCCAATCCACAGCCACACACAGAGCCCAGGAGCCGGAGAAGCATGGCCCAAGGACACAGGGTCCCCCAACCCCATCACAGCTCTGGCTCTACTCCAGAGCTGACTCCCCCCATCCACACTCAAGGCTGCCAGATCCTCCCAGGCCTGTTTCTTCATGCTGCAGTCTTCCTTTTTTTTTTCTCTTTAGGCAGAGTCTCGCTCTGTTGCCCAGCCTGGAGTGTACTTGTGCGATCTGGCTCACTGCAACCTCTACCTCCCGGGTTCAGGCGATTCTCCTGCCTCAGCCTCCCGATTAGCTGGGACTACAGGCGTGCACCACCACACTCAGCTGATTTTTGTATTTTTAGTAGAAAAGAGGTTTCACCATGTTGACCAGGATGGTCTCAACCACTTGACCTCCTGATCCGCCCCGCCTTGGCCTCCCGAAGTGCTGGGATTACACACACGACCACTGCACCCGGCTCACTCTTCCCTCTTAATTCCAAGAAGCCACGGCTCTCTCAAGGGCTTCTTTGAATAAGTCAGGTGACTCCCCCTAGCCCTCCACCCACCAGCATACCTCTCTCAAACCCACTTACCAGCCAAGAAACAGAGACCGCCCCCAGCCCAGACGGAGTTGGATAAAGAACCCAGGGCTCTGCCCACCTGTGGGATCCCTCTGAAGGATGAGCCCACAGGAGTCTTGCCCCCTTCACCCCGAAGTGCAACTCACTCCCACCGCACAGGTGCATAAACCGAGGCTCGGAGAGGAACAGGAGCTGCTCTAGAGCGCAGCAAGCATATGGAAGAGCTGAGAATGGAACTCAGACCTCCAGACACTCCCGGGAGTCCCCTGGCCTGAGCTTCCCCACCTATGATGTCCAGCAGCTCAGAGAGGGTGAGTGGCTCCTCTGGGTCACACAGCGCTTGGGCACAGCCAGCTGTTCTCACTCGCTGGCTCACCGGACTCTGGATCTGGTCGTCCAGCAGCACATCAAAACCAAGCTAAGATTCCCCGCTATGACCCAGTTCCTCTCCTCCCCGCCTCCCTCAGTAGCCTGGCAGTGCAGGGGAGGCTTTAAAGGCACAAGAACTGCTGCAGGTGGGACAAGGGCTGGCTCCTGGTTCCATCCCTGGGGCTGCGTGATCTGGCACAGCTGCAGGTCTGAGTCCGGTGGGGTCTTAAACCCTGAATGACACACCTGAGCTCTGAAGGCCTTGGTGGGGCTGAATGAGGCCGGGTTTCAGCAGAAGTCAGATTAGACTGAAGGTTCCCTGGGAGATGGGGCCTCAGAGCTGGGGTGCAGCCAGAGATGCCCATGCCAGGAGGGGTTGGAGATGTAAACATCTGAGACCCCACAAGGTCTGAGGAGCCTAGATGACCTCTACCACCCCAGGGCAAGGGATACCTCTCCTAACAGGCCCTCTCCCCAACTTGCAGGGCTACAGGCAGGGCTCTAGGAGCTGTTACTCCAAGGACCCTCGTCACCTGGACTGAAGGGAGTCACATGATCCAGAAGGGTCCTTCCTCAACCCCCAATTTCAGGGTTCTGAGCAGACAGGCTGACGGAGGATCCCAGACAGTAGAAGCAGGGGGATGAGGCCCATCCATCCATCACGCCCTCAACTGCTCTGTCCCATTCAATGAGATGGGGTGGGTGCCCTCACAGGGCTGGCAGGCCCAAGCCTCTCAGCCCTCAGATTGAGGCCCACACATGGTCAGCAGCCTGCCAGAATTGTCACTCTTAGCAAGGCACATGCTTAAATTCCTTCTTTCATTCCATCATTCATTCTCCCATCAAATCCTGGCCCCTCCAGATTCTTCTCTCAAGGAGCCCTGACCTGGCTGGGCATGAGACAGTATGGTCACCCCAGGGGGAAGAGCCCTAGGGAAGGGGCAGACACCAGAATAGGGGCCTTGGGAATCCAGCCCCAGCTGGGACTGGATTTGGAGAGCACCTGCCAGGTGGAAGGAATGACCTGAGCCTGAAGGCCAGGAAATGGAGCCTTTTCCAGGAGTGAGGGCTACAGGGGACTTCTTGACCACCCTAGGCCCTTCCTGAGCCCCAAGGTGTCAAGGCTGGAAAAGGAGATGGCTGAGCTAAGACCTTCGAGGCCAAGCCAATCTGGACTTTGAGAGCCCTGAGAGGCTGGTGAATGTGTCACCGGGCCCAATAACCCATTAACCCTGGCTCACTCATTAAGACTTTGGTGGGTGTCCATTAGCGCCTTGGCCAGTTCCAGGAGCCGGGAAGAAGGTAGGCATTATGGGAAGAAGGGAGCGCTGATTAGAGCACTAGGTGGAGGCTAGCTGAGCTGGCTCTCTTGTGTCCTTGTTCCTTGAGGAGTGCTCCAGGGCAAAGTTGGCCTCCAGCTAGGGGCAGCTGCCAACACAGCCTGGGGGGGGGGGGGGTGCCGCCCCACCATTCCAGTGACTTTCACCTCCTTATCACCCCTGTGTACTGGCACCAGCAGCCCACAGTTCCTCGGGGGCCTTGCCCAGACAGGAGGCTCAAGGGGCCAGTCCAGTGCCCGGCTCAGCATCCAGCCACACGGCCCCTCTGAGAAATGAGCCCACTGTGGCCTCCAAAGCCTTGTCTGTTTCAATGGGCTGGGATCTGCCCCACTTCTGTATCTGGGAAAACAAGGCAGTGGTGGGACAAGAAGGGAGCTCCAGGCACAGGAACCTGCAGCCTGAGATGGGAAGGGACCTGCCCAAAGCCATTCGGCAAGACAATGACCCATGACACCAGGAAGGCTGTGCAAACCACTTCCTGAACTGAAGGCTGCATCTCATTGCAGCCACACCCCACTGTCAGACTCAGAAAACTGACCACACTGAGTATCAGGAATCAACCAGAAAGCCTTGGGACCTGAGTGGGCCACGGTGACGGCCATGGTAGGGAAGGGTGGGGGGGCGTATGGGGGCGTGACATCCCGAACTGCAGTTATGAGGCACACAATGAGCGAGCAATGCGGATAGGTCCAGATGCAAGCCACGCCTGGCCCATACTCCAGAACTACTGGAACAACATCTCAGGGACCCCTGGGAGCCCAAAACCCAATATTATCCAGGACATTTTGTTTCCCTTGGTGTCCTGCACCAAGGAGATACTTGGTAAACTGGCTAAATAGAACTGACTTCAAATCCAACCATCATAGCATTTGAGTCAATATGAGGATCACAGAATCCCAAGTGTTTGGTCTCTGATCTTCCAGCATCCCAGAAAGGTCGGCTTAACATACCTTCCCCAATGGGGAGCTCACTATCTCCAAAGACAGCAGGACTGTAGTTGTTTGGCAAGTTCTTCCAAATATTAAGCGCCAATTTGCCTCTTTGTAATACCTGCTGCAGGTGGGCCTGGCCTCAGATCCTGCCTACTGTCTAAGGCCACAGAGCAGAGAAGCAGGAGCCACCCCAGATCCTGTACCTGGCCACAGCTTCTCTGAGCCACAAACACCACACTGAAGGGATGGAAGGAAGACTTCAGCTCAATGAAAGGGCTGGTGCCACTCAGTTGTGATGGAGGGAGGTCAGCACAGGCCAACTGTGGGCATGGACAGAGCTCCTGTGCCCCCAGAGCCTGGCCAACACCCCCAGTGCCATTTGCAGTATTTATTATTCCAGCACCCACCTGTCATGTGATGACACGGGCTAGAGCACGGCCAAGTGCGTGGGTCCTTCAGAATTGTCAGCTTGTGCATGCCTGGGATCACCCAGCCACAGGGTTGGCCTGGCACTTGGTGGACCAAGTCCAACTACCAAACCCAGAGGCAGGATGGCAGAGGCATGGGCCCTAGAGTCCCTGGGTTCAAACTCAACCCCAGCCACTGACAGTGTGGGTATCACTGCAGCCTTTCCCTTCCTGGCCTCAGTCTCCTACCTGAAGAGCACGGATGACTAGAACAGTTGCTGGGTGGATTCCCTGAGGGCCACGCGCAGACTGTAGGAGGCACCTGCTACTTTTGAGGCCTCACAGGGTCTCGCCAGGCTCCGACACCAGGCTGTAGGAGCTTCTCTGCTTTCCTGATGAGCAGCTCAGAGCAGGGGCCCAAAGGGCGACCTTCCTATACGCCCTGCTCTCCCTGCCCAAGGCACCCTCCATAGGTAATATTTATCACATCACCTGCTAATTATCTACAGTGTCTCAAAGTTCCAAGGAGAGGTTGAGAGTGGAAGGAGACAGTCCATGCCTCAGCCCCAACACTATCCCACAGCCTGGTCTCCAGGAAAGCCAACCCGCTCTTGTCTCAAGGCCTCCCTGCATGCCCAAGCACACCTGTTCACACACAGCCCCCTGTGACTTCACAGATGCCAAAACTGCCCAGCACTTTCCATGCACACCATGCTCTCATCGTTCTCATCTGGATTTTGGGGACCTCTCTCCACCTCGTAGCAGCACCTTCCCGACCTCCCTCGCTTCTTGGATGCTGGGCTCAGGAATGCTCTCACTGATGAGTCTGTGCCCTGCATCCTTACTGGTCCTGTCCAACTGCTCCCGCCTCTATACCCCACTCCCAGCCTCACCTGACCCCCAGTCCCCACGGGCCACCCTCTCACCTGGAGACTGTCAATCACAGGTCCCAGCCCCCCTGCTGTTTCCCTACTACAGCCCTGGCAATCCGCATGCAAATCCGAGCACACCCCTCCCCTACTACAAAACAAAACAAAACAAAACAAAACAAAAACACTCCAGATGCCCCCTTTGCCCTACCTTGATGGTGCCAGTCCTTTCCTCTTTTTTTTTTTTTTTGAGTGCAGCAGCTGGATATGAACCATCCTTTCCTCTTGCTCCTTCTTGGTCTTTGGGACATTGCACTGACTCCATTATCACGGAGACACTCTTCAGACACCAATCACAATGCCACCTCCTCCTCAAGCCCTCCAGCACTGCATCCCACTCTGCAGGCCGCTGCTACTGCTGCCTCCTCCACAGTATCCACAGTGCCCAGCAATCTTCACTGAGTGGATGGAGACCTAGCACACTCTGGGTCACATCCAGAAACTCCACAATAGTGGAGGAGACATGCTGTTTCCAAGGAAGGGCAGCTCCCCAGGCCTGGTCATTCTCAGACTCCTCCAGTCAAAGGCCGGGCACAGTCAGCTGGGATTGCCATGCTTCGCTCTGACCCACACGACTGGCCTTGCCACCTCTATGGGAAGAGAGCCCTCCACACAGCCTCAAACCCAGACATAACAGGACAGGACAGGCTGGAATCAAAAGACGCCAGCCAGATCTCCACACAAAGGCTGTGCTCTTAAGCAGG